GAGAGAGAGAGAGAGAGAGAGAGAGAGAGAGAGAGAGAGAGAGAGAGAGAGAATATTAGAGAATGTGAATGTGTAACCTATAGGATACCTTTGTGGAGTAGGTTCTCTCCTCCTTCCAGGGTCCCAGGAATCAAACTTGGGCTATCAAACTTGATGGTATGAGCCTTTACCCACCGAATCATTTTGTTGGTACTGAGAATTATTTTTTCAAACCTGGAAGTACTTCTACTTCAAGTATTTTCAGAAGGCAGTTTTTGCTTCTCCAGGTGAAATGTATCTCTAATTTCCAGAAGTGTGTTTTATTTCTTTTCAGTGAGGCTTAACTCATTCTAAATTTACACTTTGATTCCTATATAAATACTTTTCATAAAGTGAAGTCAAGTCATCTTGAAGGAAATAAAACAGCCAAGGCTCTTCGTTATAGTCCTGTGCCTCGTTCTCAATCTAGTGTATAGCTGAAATCCCCTGAACAGCTTTATAAAGCCTGGGTCTGTGTCTTGGTCTAGAGATTTAAGTGCAGTAGGGACACTGAGCCTTTTAACTAATTCCAGATTATTCGGATATGCAGTCTAGGCTTAGAAGTACTGTACTACAGGAAATGGAGAAGGGGATCAAAAGGTTATTAATTTTTAATAGCAGCAAAGATCTTGTCAAAAGTAGATAATCAAGATCCACTACAACTCAAATAATAAGTTGCTGCTGTGGAACGGAAATATTAAAAGCGGCTACTTTGATTAAGAGTAAATGATACTATGAAAAACGGTAAAGAGGAGGCATGCAGTGGCTTTACTTGGATAATAAAACTTGAAATTTGATTCTGTATCATGCTGGAAAAGAACAAGAGGAAGGGGAAGTGCTGGTGACTGAGGGAGACCTTTGTTACAATGAGAGTCAGAAGCAAGCCTGAGGGAAAGAAAAGTGGGGATGTTGGGTCAAGCAGATTTTAAGAGGAAATTCTGAGAACAGTGTTCTAAGTTGGTAAGTTTTCAAAGACAACACAACTTGATATGTGGCAAAAACAATGCTGATGGGAGCTGGTGAGATGGCCCAGAGAGTATAGTACTTGTCATACAAACATGAGGACCTACATTCGCTCCCTGGCACCCATGTAAAAAAACAAAAACAAAAAACTGAACCATAGTCCTCGCCTATTATTCCAGCTGGGGAGGCAGAGACAGCAGAACCTTTGAACCTGACGGGTGACCAGTCTGGCCAAATCAATGAGCTCTGGGTTCCGTGAGAGACCTTGTCTCACAAAGTAAGGTGGAAAGCAATTGAGAAAGGCACCTGACGTGAACCTCTGGCATCTCCATGCAGCCATACACATATGTGGCCACCTATCCCCAAGCAATCCCCGCCCCCGCAGACACATACACGCCACACCCAGAGCAGACAGCTGCTGCAATGGAGGTGAAATAACAGAACAGAACAGTTAGTAAATCCCAGTGTCCTTAGTGATCAACAAGGATGCACCTAAGCTGACTGGGCATACAGCGCCCTCTTGGCCTGCCAGAGGAGAGAGGTGTTGCAAGTTAGGTGTAACTGTGTAAATGAGATGTCTGTAATGCCTATGTATAATGCCCCCTCCTAAAAAACCAAACCAATCCAAACCACTTTATTTAATGAAAGCCAGTTATGCTTTCAGATATTCCCATGGTAGCAAATGCAATAAATTCTAAACAGTAAGACAGAAACATTGTATCCACAGTAATTACAAAAGAAACAAATGCATTTTTAAAATTCCCAGAGGTGCTTATTGGTGAAGAATGACACAGGAGGAGGACATCTCTGTTATAATGACTGAGTCTCAGAAACAACAAGGGAAGACTTCCCCTTTGCCTCTCTCAGTTCCCCAGACTTTGATATTCTTCTTCTTGGTTCCTTCTGTTGTTTCAATAACCAGATGTCTGGAAAGAGAGCACTTTAAATATACAGTGTGCTCATCAGGCTAGCCAGATCCCTGGCTCACTAGACCTTATGAAGGGCTCCCGCTACTTCAAATAGCTATCGACCAGCATTTTTTTTAGTATCATTACCATTTTACAGCAGGACAAAAAGATGTTATTATTACAGTTTATGTTTAATGAGTCAGTCAGGCAATAACAGGTAAAAATATACTAGAATATTTTTCACTTCAGGAAAATATTAAACAATTTGTCCCACTAATGATGAGAAGATAAATTTAATTTTTATTAAAAAAAAAACATCCTACTGATCATAGGGTGTGGGGGCAGGAAACAAAGCACTGACTACTGAAGAATACTAAAACCTATAAAAAAGTATCAAAAGTAAACTCATTATGGTATTGGCATTGTGCCAAAATATCATACAGTCCAGTTCCATATTATCAAGCAAAATATTTTTGCATTATTGGATCCAATACAAAATGGCATTGCCTATATAGTGCAGGTAAAAATTCAACTACAACCAATATCTGCCATCATAATAAATATCTAACAGAGCAGAGCTAATTCCAGTTCCTCATTACTAAACCCACAAATAAAATCAACCTGGAATAAAAGTGCTTGATTTTTTTTTTTTTTTTACAACGAATCATTAGAAGGGCAGGACTGAAGCTGCTATTTTGTTTTGACATAAGAGAGCAGCTTTATAGAACACGTAGTATCATTGTCTGATACACAGAGGCACTCAGTGCCCACAGTTTCCAAGTTCACAGACCTCACCCTCCTTTCCCATCTCTAATACAAACTCCAACCAACCTTAAAAGAATTCACTGAAAATGCTTGAATCCCAAGAAATATACTGTTAAGTGCTCACTATCCATACTAGCAAAAAATATCTTTTACGTAAGTGAACCACGGTAATCCCCCCCCCCCCACCCGAGGCAGGGTTTCTCTGTGTAGCTTTGTGCCTTTCCTGGATCTCGCTCTGTAGCCCAGGCTGGCCTCGAACTCACAGAGATCCGCCTGGCGCTACCTCCCGAGTGCTGGGATTAAAGGTGTGTGCCACCACTGCCCGGCCCATGGTAATTTCTTAAACTCAGGAGTTAAGTCTAAGCTTGACAGTGATGGACAAAAGGAAGGAAAAAAGAAGAAAAGAGAAGCCAAGAGGCTACGGAGGAGGAAAAGGAGAACACAGTGGCATTTGAGAGGAAGGGATAAGTAAGTTCATCATGTGTTATGCCTATTACAAAGAAGGACCTCATGTACATTTGCAAGGAACTCTAATGATCCTAGAACTTTAGGTTTAGAAAATATGACAAAATGCCACAGTACCACATATACACATTTCAAGTTTCTTTTGTTTCTGTTTTTTTTTTAATTTATTTTTATTTTTATTTTTTTTTTTAGTGGTACTGTTTGTGATGTTGGAAATGGAACCCAAGGCCTTCAAAGCCTTGGCCAAGTACTCTGGAGCGTACCGACCCCACATCTCCAGAGGTTCAGTGAAAATCACTGAAGCTAATCCATAAGCCCAGCTCCCAGCGGCTACCATACAGTCTAAGGATGACAGTTTATCTATTCAGTATTTAATCATCCAAGAAGAGTTCCTGTAGAGTCCTCTGAGTTCTTCTCTCTCACTGACACTAGGTACTGTAAGGAATAACTTCACTGTCCTAAGAAAAAAATGAAAACATTGGAAGTGTTTCACTTCCTGTTTTCAGTTCCTGCTAAATCCTTCAGTAAACCTGGTACTCTGTATGATTGGCAGTCAAACCTTCTCAGGGTCAGGAACACAAAGGCCTATATGTAACAGGAAGATGTGACCTCACCCTGGCATCTGCCCAAGTGTTGCTGTATCTTGGCTCTCCTGGCCCTGCATGAATGCCCTTCCTCTTTTAATGGTCTCTGTTGGGTTGTGTTTGCAGCCAAGTTCTGCAAGGAACAATTCACAGAATTTATACTCACTAGGTCTCTTTAGCTCTGCCCAATAATTCATACTCCAGTATTTGCCTAAGAGAGTTTAAAGACTCACTGAAATTGTGCTAAACTACTATGCAAGGCAAGGCATTATAATGAATTCTCAACTAAAATTAAAATTTACTATTTTTGTCAATGCGACTTTGGAAATAAAATTTCAGAATCAGTTTTCCATTATTTGTTACAATGGGAATAAACAGCTTAGTTTATCAGATTGAAATATATTATGAAAAATATCTATACTTTCTTATTCCTAAGCTTACTTATTCATCCAAAAACCCTTGAGTGCCATACCCTGTACAAGACTAAATACAGTGAGCACAACTAACATGAGCCCAATATGTCAGAACCATCACTCTACACTGAGCTACATTCTTCTAAATAATCTGGCATGTTTTAAACATTTTTATTAAGGACAAAAAAAGAAAAAATCTAATTGGGGTGAGGACTGAAACCCCTAGAAATTAAATATGACAGGACAAAACATCACAGAAGTTATATAACTTTATTCAACAAATCATGATCATATATTATTCGTAAGTAATATTAAGCACTAAAATATGTACTTTTCTTAAAGAGTTTTAGTACTTTATTTCTAAAGATTTTCTTGTTATGCAGATAACTGTTATATAAAACTTATTAACTGCTTGAACAGAACTCTTGATCAAGGATAAACAAAAGAATTCCGTATAACAAATTTTCATTTCAAAGAATGAAAAAAGCACGGCAACATAATGACATCAAATTACTATAGTATAATATAATTGACTTTTACCATTGCTACAACGTAAAAGATAACTGATGATTTCTTACCAGAAAAGTGCAAAAAATATATTAACAACTCTCTTACCAAAATAAAGCCAGGTATAAACACACAAACATAATTTAGGGGGGAAGTTGGACTCTGGTTTTAACACAGGTTAACTAGAAATAAACATGGGCACAGTCACAAGAATAATACATTGCCAAAAAGTTAAAATTAGCAGAGGTAAAAAGCCATAAAATCCTGCCAGGTTTTCTTTCCCCTGTATTTGAAGCTTGACAGTGGATTTGGAAAATTAGCGGAGTGGCAGAAAATGACACACATGCACACACAAAAAAAGCACACTTCAAGCAAACTGCTTGTCAGTATGAGGATCTGACTTGACCAACAGGTTTAATCCACTTGCTCAAAGGTCATGCTGTCCAGGTGAAGGATGGCCAGTTTCCTCTGCTGCAGGAGGCTGGCTATCAGAGTCTGCAGAAGTAGGGTGCTCCTGGACATGGGTCACTTTTCCTGAAGTTCCTGCAGGAGGAAGTTCATTATTTGTCTCTTCTTCCATAGGTGGAAAGGTTTCAGGCAGCTCACTTGCCATCAGAACTTGCAGAGAATCCGTTCCATCCTCAATGTCCATTTGAATCCCCAGAGCTTTCAGAATGTCACATTTGCACATGGGGCAAGTGCCATGGGCTAGGATCCAGGGGTCGATGCAATTCTTGTGGAAAAAATGTTTACACGTGAGAAAACGAACTGTATCATTAGGCTTATAGTGTTCAAAGCAGATGACACAGCTATCCGCATTCGGATTTACTTCCTCATCGCCCTCTTTTAATACTCGAACTTGCAGCTGGCCAAAAGCTTTCTTGAGCTCTCTTGTTAATCGCTTCCATCTCCTGGTCTCAATCCTTGCAACCCAGAGTCTCCGAATATGATAAAAGGCGAAATACGCTAAAGTAGCGGTTGTCACGATCATAAAGGAGACAAAATAGTGATTCAGCCAGATAATATGCTTTCTCCCCACCTCAACCACGACTGTAACCAGAACCCCCTTCCGAATTAAATGCAAAATTTCCATGCCTTTTAAGTTACCAATCATAACTACGATGGTGTCTTCAAATGCCTGGTGAGACATGGGGAAAACCTGGTTGCCAGTACCTGGAAAGTTATAGATTATCACTCCTTTGGCTCCATTCTCAGAAGCCACCTTAATTTTCTGTGTGAAAGTGCAACCTCCTCGTTCAATGAGTGCAATCCAGGGCTCGTTGTTCTGCGGCCGGATGAAACCGGTGTTGGGATCACAAGCATTCTGAGTTTTTCCCTCTGGTGGCACAACGACTCCTGCTACTTTCTTCAAGTTGGAACTTCTTCCGAAGACCCCGGTCTCCCCTAGCTCTGACAACATGCGGTTCCCCACGTGAAATGAGATGTTCATGTAAGCAGTCCAAACCGCACTTGCTGTGCAGCACTTCTGACCGAGGAGCCAAATCAAACCGAATTTCAGAAGCCAGAAAGATGCGGCGCTGTTTTGCCAAGTGCCGGTGTGAAGGGGATTCATCTCTGTCTTTCACCAATGACTTTAAGAGCCAACCCAACCAAAGCGTGTGGCTGCCACATCTGTTGACAATCAATTCAAAATGAGGAAGGAAAAAATATCTTCTGGGTGAAAACAAGATCCGCCGTCTTCCAACATGTTTCAGCAAGAGATTTCGAAAGATGTCCTGAGTTTCAGATGTTTTATTAGAGAGAAAAACTTTAGATAGTAAAGAAATCCCTGTCTCACCACTGTAACTTTAGAAACTGCTTGCTGTTGTTGCATGAGGTGATTGTGACATAAAAGACCAAGCAGCCAATTAGGTAAGAGCTCAGAGCACACTGTACATGTACTGGCTTAAATGTTTCCACTGTGGCTATAGGTAGTTTGGGTGTGCTTATAAGATGATTCAATCATTGAGCCATAAAAAAGTGGTTGTAGGTAGCACATTAAACTTAAAAAAAAAAATTCTGCAGCTGACTCTTTGTAAAAACCTCAAAGCATATGTAAGAATACTCTACAATTGTCACATTAATAAACATTTCTGACAAAATTAAGTTTGAAATTTACATAGAATAATAAATTAGGATTGTGACCAAATGAGCATAAAAATCAGTGAGATCTATAACACGAACTTTATATATTTGGTCACTGTCAATTTCTTCTAAACATGCAAATAAATGATATAGGATTTCTGAGATATTTATTGCTTTTGCCTTGTTTTAATCTTTTAAAGCAGTGATTCTCAATCTGTGGGTTGTGGCCCCTTTGGCAAACCTTTAGCTCCAAAAATATTTACATTACAATTTGTAGCAGTAGCAAAATTACAGTTGTGAGGTAACAATGAAAGTAATTTTATGGTTGGGGGTCACTAGAACATGAGGAACTGTATTAACGGGTGGCAGCATCAGGAAGGTTGAGAACCACTGTTAGAGTACAGAATCCGGCTAAATCTCCTTTTCTCACACCTACACAGACAGCCCAGCAGCACACACAGGTATTAAGAATAAATATAAAAAACTCAACATATACAGAGGCTTATTTCTTTGCTGACCTTGATGGCTGTTACCAATCTAGCCAAACTCTGAATGAAGAGAAGGAAGAGTGAAAGACTAAAAATTAAGCATAGCTGTATAATCCAAGCATGGCTATTTTTAAAATGTAACTCGATTTAAAAAATATCAAAAAGTTAACCAATGACAGCAACAATGGTTGCAGGTCATAAAGAGATGATGCTAACAAAATTTTTGACTAAACTTAATATCTCTCTTAGAAGATCCTATATATCCTGCCTGCTCTGCTTCCATTATTACTACCTTTAGTCAATGGCTGTCGATAACTTTACATCTAAAGAATCAACATACATGGGCAGTGACAAATGTTGCTATCTATATTCTCAGGTAGGTAGCCATATGTTTCTACTGTCCTAGCTAGAAAGCCAAAGCTAAGGACTTTTGCCTTGAACAAACATTTTGGGCCTCTATATGCAGGGTTCAAAAACAAGCCATTTTAAACTGGACTCACCAGGACTAAGAAAAATGATTTTTTTTTTTTTTTGTTTTTTCGAGACAGAGTTTCTCTGCATAGTTTTGCGCCTTTCCTGGAGCTCACTTGGTAGCCCAGGCTGGCCTCGAACTCACAGCGATCCGCCTGGCTCTGCCTCCCGAGTGCTGGGATTAAAGGCGTGCGCCACCACCGCCCGGCTTTTTTTTTTTTTTTTTAAATAATTTATGAAGTAACAACTTGAGACAGGAATGAAGAAAGTTCTACATGCAAAACAAAAATTAGTACATAAGGTGTTGGTCAGGGAGGCTCCACAGTGGTTCTCAACCTTCCTAATGCTGCCACTCTTTAATACAGATTTTCATGTGGTGGTGGTGACCCCCATCCATAAAATAGTTTTGTTTTGCTACTTCATAACTGTAATTTTGATACTTTTGTGAATTATAATTTAAATATTTTTAGAGCTAGAGGCTTGCCAAAAGAGTCACAACCTACAGGTTGAGAACCACTGCTCCGGGAGGCTTCCAAAGCAATATAGGTTCTTGGCTGCCTGCTAGAATTAGACAAGACCTTATTGCTGCTAACAGCACATACCTTGGATGCATGGTACAGAGAAATCAAGCTGGAAGCTCCCTCTCTGCAGCTAGCTTTGAGTACTGGAAGATGCTATGTAGGCTGCTGGGAGAGAGGGGACATCAATGATCTTCCCTAGTCGTGAATCCTATGATCTACAAAACCAACCTGCCAGGCAAGATGCACCTATATGTCCAATAGTAGCACCATTGCCGGTGAGCAACAGCATCAATTAGATTTGACACCCACTACATGGGAGGTAATCCATGTCTGGTATAAACCCGGTCAAGAACACATGGCTAGGGACAGGAGAAGGAACTGAATATGGCCAGCTGATCCTGTTCAACTGTGATCTGAGTATTGTTTATATCCAGAGACATCTGCTACCCTCAGTCTTCATCAGAGAAGCCTATTTTGTAGTGAACAGTGGTTCATACAGAGATTCCTGGCTACACAGAGTGTTGAATTCAGTGTCCATCCTTGAACAAGGCATTTATGCCAGTCTAGAAGAGGAGGCAAAAAGAACATAAAAGCTGGAAGACTGGGAGAAAGACCTCAAAATACTATATCTCTTGAACATGACAATGATGAGCTCACAGAGGTTGTGTGGATGTCACTACTGAATCTACACAAGAATGGTCACATCAACAGTCAGGCATAGTTGGAGGAGACCAAAAGATTCTATTCCCCAGTACAGAACTTTTTCTTACTGATGGACTCAGAGGGAAGGGGAAACACTGCCTTCAGTTGTAAACCCACTGATGACTGAACCAGACTGAAGTGAGTGGTTCTTATCCAGCATTCAACCAGACAGGCCTGGCTAAACTGTATGGGTCATAACTTAGAAGGGACTAGTAGTGATGAGGGGTGCAGACTGATAGGATGAGGAGGAGATAAGGGTGTCTGGGATAGATTAATCAGAATACACTGTCTGTATGTTTGAAACTGTCAATTAACAAAATTAATCAATTAAAATGTTCAAATGAGAAGCATAAATCAGAAAGACTATTAGTGTGGAACTTTTAGTCCACAATGGTTAGATTTTCTCTTGTAGAAGCAATTACTGACTCATTTCCAAACAGCTCCTTGGGAAAGGAGAAGTAAGCAGTATGTAGACTTGTAAAGACCCTACCACATGCTATCTACATTGAACACTAAAAGGTAAGAGAGACTTTCACCAAAACCACAAACCCTCATCTTTCAGCTTTTTAGCACTACTTAGGCGTTTATCCACTCACCAGAAATGAGGTTGAAAAATTAGTCAGATATAGTATTGGATGGAAACTGAACAAAATGTTTAGCTCTGCTCTGTGCTCCAAGGCCATACAGATGCTCACTACTGTTTGAGAAGCCAACAGCAGCCCCTAAGAGATACTTTTAGAAGAAACTCAAGTCACCATGGCTGTTTCACTATGCTAGGATTTAAAGATCTCCAGCAAGCAGGTCAACTTTTGCAGTACTGCTCTAAATGATGCCTAAAATACTTTAAAACTTTTATGTATACAACACATGCTATCCTCTAAAATAATTAGAATGAAGAACCCATTCAACCCATAGCTTTGGAAACCAGATTTCCTGGGTATTAATAAAACTAATTAACCATGGCAATTTAAATCCAAATCTAATTCTATACCTTTAGGATTTAGTGAAGCTAGGATGTAAACTGTTAGGTGAAGTATTAAAACAAAGCCCCCAAATAAATCTGTTCAAAAGGAAACTTAAAACAGTAGCCCAGCAATTCTCCCACTACATCAATGGCATAAGCCCAGCAATCTGAAGATCAGGATAAGTATTATTCTTCAACATGTACCTATTTCCTTATTTGGAGAAACACAACATTTAACAAACTGATCAAAAAGACAACATTTAATGGGCATGATATGGAGTTTTATTTTCACAGCACATAAATTTCATCTTCTGTGGCTGGATAGTGGAACCAAGGGTCAAGTTTTCTGTGTGTACAGTGCAGTGAGAGAGTTCATCTGATTTTAATCTGTGGAAAGATCTTGGGCTTCTTAAGGTTTTAGAATGTCACACTTGCACATGGGGCATGTCCTATGGGCTAAAAGCCAGGGGTCAATACACGTCTTGTGGAAAAAATGTTTGCAAGTTAAAATACGTATTACATCGTGGGTTTTGTATATATCAAAACAAACAACACAGTTGTCTTCATTTGGGTCTAGCTCCTTATCCCCTTCCTTGAGCACTCGGAGTGGCAGCTGACCAATAGCTTTCTTCACATCGGCCTTTGTCTGTCTTTGCCTCCTGATAGAAGAACTGGGAACTCGGGGTCTCCAGGCACAGTATAGGAAAAGGTAAGCAACTGTGGCTGCCAGGAAGGTGAACAAAGACATAACATAGTGGCTCAGCCAGGGCATGTGCATTCTCCCCACTTCAATGATGATTGTCACATAGACACCTTTCTGGACCAAGTGCAAAAGCTCCATGCCTTTGAGGTTGCCTATCATCACTGCAACTATATTCTCTGTTCCCTTGTGAGACATGGGAAACACCTTGTTGCCTGTACCTGGGTAGTTATAGATGATCACCCCATTTGCTCCCTTCTCTGCTGCCACATTGATTTTATGAGTAAAAGTACATCCTCCTCGTTCAATGAGGGCCAGCCAAGAGTCTGCCTGATCAGGCCTGCTGAAGTTGGTCAGGGGGTTACACGCATTCTGATTCCATCCTTCGGGAAGTACCACGGCACCAGACACCCTTTCCAGAGGAGAATGATTCCCAAACACTCCACTCTCTCCTAGCTCTGATATGATCCGGTTTCCCACCTGGAACGTTATATTCAGATGAGCCGTCCATATTGCTTTTCCTTTGGAGGCAGGGAGGCTAAGTAGTAGAAAGACGCTAAGCCTCAACAGTCGAGATGAAACAGACCTGGAGACTGAAGGAGTCAGTCCAAGTGGGTTCATTCCTCCACTAACTGACAGGCATGAAAAATGAAAGAACATCTGCTGTAAAAGGAGGTACAGGAGCTAGGCTGAGTTGTCAAGAGCAGATCACTGAAGCACAGAAATGAAGAAAGTCTGCCTGGATGGAAGACATCTTGCTCCTTCCAGCATTTTCCCTCTTGGTACTTTATCTTTCTTATAATGAAAATTCAAGAGATGTTATTAGTTCAAGGTGATTTCAAGAAACTTATGACTTCCTAATGGGTAAATTGTGACATCAGAGGTAGTTAAGCCAATCCAGGAGTTTATATTAATGCAATGCATACTGAAATCCCATTGGTTAAAAGGGCTACAAAGCAATAAGTCAAGAGGTATGCATTCACACATATGTGTTTATGTATTAATATATGAATGAGATTACATATCATCATTATATATACACATATACGTACATACATGCCACTTTGAACACACTCAAAATTACTGAATAAAAATGGTAAGCATTGAAAAGAATACAACTTGAGTTTTGTTTTTATATATGGATATACTGAAAGATATCTTAAAACCTTTCACAAACTATTCATTCACATTAATGAATGCTTCTGCTCAGGTGTCAGTTCTCACTATGCTTCTACACTCTCTAGCTGGTTACTCTGGACAATAGGAGTAAATCACCCCACACTTGTCTGACATTAAATGCTAACACCAAACTCAAAGATTTAGCACTGGAATGAAAAAGAAAAAAAATGTGGTTTTTTTTTCTGATATAGACTCATCCCACAAGGCAAACACATTTTTGTTCATTGAGTCTGTTGCTAAAATACCTACTATGTGCTAAGCAAATACTAAAAATGAAAAGATACTGAAAAGAAAAACATGATCTTACTATTATCTAATGAGAGTAGATTGGAAACAAATAAATGCAGATATGAGTAACTACAAGAACTTTGAACAGAAAGCCCCAAGTATGGAGAAAAAGATAACTTGGAATGGGGACCACTTTTAGAGGCTCAAGATAAACTTGTCTAAGAAACTGATAGTCTGATACATGCAAAAATAAATCCAAATTCCCAAAGCAAAGTAACAAAACTAGAGATAGAGGAAAGCATAGCTTTGTGCTCTATGATGGAAAGCCACATAGTAAGTTCAAGGATCTGAAGGAATGCAGACTCATGAGGAGACAGTGAAAGAGGAAAGGCAAAGGGTAATTGGTGTGTTTGGTGGCACACATTCTATCCTGAGAACTCTGAGTTGTGTCCTAGGATGTGTCTTGAGGATGATTTAAACACCTTTCAAACCCTTTGCTTTTACTTTGAATCCTTGCCTGAAATCTTTGCACATAGATAGATAATTAAGTTGACAATACTCATTCAATCATTTATCACCCCAGTATAGGACAGCCTTTTTGACTGGTGGGCTGCAAAGATTTGAGGACACAGAAAGAAAAGACCTTGTTTGCTTATGAGGCTCATGCACAGACTGGGCTCTGCTACTGAAAATTCAAGTGTGTCAAGAGAGTGTATGTTTTTGACAAAAGTATCCTTTGTACTTACTGAGCAACAACACTAGTTAATATTTGTTTGCAAGATGGATATTGATCAAATTTTCAATTCTTACAATTTTATTTATGTGTGATTCAGTTTGAATCTGAACTGTCTTCACAGGTGGAATTTTCCATGTTCAGAGTGTGAACTACTGTTTGATTCTGTTAAAAGTGAAAAAGTGAGAACCAGTTAAGAAGTTTGATGTTACTTAGCAGGTACTTGTTGAATTGGTGATTGCTTTTGGAAGGTAATTTAATTCAGAATATTTATTTATTTTTTGTCTGTGTGTGCAGTGTCTGTGGGCGGGGGCAGAAAAAGGCATCAGACTGGAGTTACAGACCATTGTGAGCTGTTATGTGGATGCTGGGAATCGAACCTGCATCTTCTAGGAGAGCAGCAGCCAGTGCTCTTACCCACTGAGCCATCCTTCCAGGCGATTTAAAACAATCTGATTCTGACATGGCTTTTATATTTCAATGGCTTTATTTGTTTATTGTTTTTAGATAGGTTATTCAAGATTTACTCAAACTTGATATGCAGTAAAAAACATCCTTTTTCTAATCCTCCTGCTTCTGTCTTTCAAGCGCATTTTGTTCCACCACATCCCAAACTTGTGCTGAATTTGGAAGGGTGAAACATTTACATAACAAAACATGTATGGCTAAGACCATAAATTCAAGAGTTTCCTTGTTTGGTTGAAAGGAACAATTTATATAAATCTATAAGTTCATTGACTTTCTCTTGCTATAACATGAAGTGGTTAAGGCCATGGTGGTTAAAATATCTCTTCTCTTATCACAATCCTAGTACAAAATGCTCCCACATCTAACAATGGCTCTCTGAAGCAGATTTTGCCTTCTGAGGGGTATTTTCTATTTTTAGAGACTTTTTTTTATTATCACAACTGGGAAATGTGCCTGTCATATTGTGGCTAAAAGCCAAAGATGCAACTAAACCTCATAAAATGCTGAGAGTGGCCTTTTAGACTTAGATATTCCTAGCTCAAAAAGTCACAAATAAGGTTAGGAAAGCCTGTAATAAAGGTACAATCTTAGGAGAGAGGCACTACCTCCAAAGTCCCTTATCCCTGAGAGACAAATTCTGAGCTCTTGCTGCACAGTAAGCTTTTGTAATTACCAATATATCTGTAAAGTAAGATGCTCTCAGAATGTGCCTCCATTTCCCAAGTTTTGCCTAGCACAGAAGCAGAAGAGCTCTCTTTAAGCTTCCTTATTATCCCATAAGGGATGGTTGTCAATTGCATTCATTTTGTCAGAACTAGAGCAAAGAGTCTTCTGCCCTGGGGCTGACATAGTTAAATGAGGCAGAAAGAGGGAATGGATAACTGATGCCACTGTAATCTGGTCCTTTTAAAACATGTATTCAACACATGGACTTTCTGCACCTGAAGGTTTCAACTTCTTTATTCTATTGACAACTTGCAGGCAGATTAAGGGAAACTGAACATACAACTAGGGTTGCAAGATCCAATAGTCCAAAAGTTCCTGTTTTTTACATCTTTCCATTCTGCCTCATAAAGGATGTTGGCTCTCCCCCTTAACTTGGTTCCCTTGATGAAATCCCAGGATGGCTACTGTTCCAATTATCCATAGGCACACAGCACCCTGAGGTACAATGCAACATTTCCACTCTCATATTTCCCGTCAAGAAAGAGGGAAAAGATATCCCCCAGATATTTATCAACCTTCCCTTAATGTCTCTGGCTAGAACTACTTTCCAAATTCATATTTAATGGATACATGAAGTGAGTTTGGTCATTATGATTGACATAGATAAATCAGTTTATCTTGTGGAGAAGCCCACTCCTGACTGAATACATGGATGGAGAGAAGGTAAAGCTATCCGTTCTCTGCTACCAATGGAGAAAATCAGGGAGCAGAAGGCAAGTACTCAGAGAAGTGGTAGCTGCAGGATCTAAATCACTGAGATATACTCAAAGAGATACTTAATCACTAACCAGAACAAACACCATGTGCACTCCACACGAGGTACCACCAGAAGACAGGGTTTTGTTTAGGTAACAAACTCAACATAGTCCTCTTCCTTTGGAAGGCATGATTGTGAGAAACAATTACAAAGAAACTGAGGGTCTATGTATTCTATAACAGTCAGACTCTAGGGAAATACTGAGAAATATTTTAAGTGTCATTGGGTTACAGGGATGGATGGGATCAACTCATCTCTGCTCTCACTGATTTTTGACCATTACTCATGCCTCCAGAAATCCCAACTCTGATAGAGAAAAGAAACCAAGTACATTCTGTACTTAACAGCATCTCTACAACATAGGGAAAATAGGACAGACTTCATCAAAGTAACCCACAAATCATAGTACACAGGCCAGGAATCATGAAAATTCTGTAGGTTTCATAAAGCACACTTACTTCACATGTAAGCTAAAGAAATGGTAATTTTATTGTTTGTTTCTGAAGAAAAATATCATAAATGGATTTGAGGGTAACAGAATGCTGATTCAAAGTGGCTTGCTAAAAGGAACAAAAGAATTTTCTGAAAGCAAAACATTTCTTTTTACAATAAAATTTTACTTCATTTTACATTTGATTGCAAGTTTATAATTCTTACATATATCAATATAGTCTTTTTTTCTGGAACTTATATTAAGTTAATCATTATACTCATATGTTCAATAAAACATACATGTGATAATTAGAAAAGAAACATGTTTTAAACAACCTAAACCACCCTCAATCTAAGACAGTGTGTCCTAAATATGCTAAACACAGAATACAATTGACATAATCATATGTGCGCTTCTCAATTGTTTCCATGTTCACACATGGGGTCAGGGAAGGCAGAAGGGCCAAGAAGAGCGAGGTAGTACTTTTTGAGTGGATTTAAGGCCCATTCCATGAGATGGAACCCATCCTTGACAGTGCTAAAAGGACCAAGAACCTAAGACAACATAGATCTTCAGCCTACAGGAAAAACCTACAATATTTCTCAAATATCTAACACTGTCCTACCTCAGAAGGGTCTATTTGGGCAGGGCATAACCATGGTCACTCTATCCCATGGGATGAACACTTCCCATTGCTTTAACCTGGCTATAACCTTTCTCTTGGTCCTTTCTATCCACCAGATTTTGCTTACTCTTAACTTTGCTTTTTTTCCCTTTAGGAAATAATGTAATAAAACTTACAGTGGTGTTCTTGTTTATTGAAAAGCTCAGGTAGGTGTCCCTATATCTTCTAGAGAAGACATACGAGTCTCTGCACTGCCTACTCTTCTTTCTTCCCACCCAGCTTCATTTTATGCTATCAATTCTTAAAATTTTACTTCTTCAGTTAAATCAGCTTAGCATTTTCAGTGCTCCTATCAACATGATCAGCTTACTGCACTTTATACAGGCTTTGTCTATTCTGAAAACCTTATTGTGTCTGTCCCTGCAGGGCATATTATAAAATGGCTCCATTTACTAACCTCTGTAGTCTGTCTTAGAAGTTCTTCCATTAAAGGATGACATTTGTTTCAATGCCCCCTTAGATCTGTGTGCCCTGGCAACTGGCTGGCCAAAAGACTTCAGCAGAAGTGACAGTATGTCAACTTTATCCCTCAACTTTGGGAGGCCTTGCACTCTTTCCACACTCTCTAGAATTCCTGCTACCTTGAAGTGAACAAGGCTATCTTGAGCAGAGGATGTGAATTAAAATACTCAAGAAAAGTCCAACTCTCCTAGCCGAGGGTGTCTGACATTAATCTGCAGGTGGGCAGGCATGTGGAAGTTGAAGAGCAGAGCTACTTGAATGACTCAAAGATAACCAGACCTCAACTCTACACAAAGAACTAAAGGCAACTAAGTAATGCTGAGATGGGGAGAAATAGTCTTCTTCAGGGCAGATCACACCAACTGGTTATCTAACCAAATAGACAACCCTGAAAACATACACACAAGTAACATGATACAGATTGAGCAGGCCATACATAAGAATATATATGTACATACATTTACATATGTGTACATTAAAACAATTAATGAAAACATCGGACATGAATTTGAAGTAAAAGAGAGATATATTTTGGCCAGAGAGGAGAAAAGGGAAGGGGAAATTATGTTAGTATATTATAATATCAAAAAGAAAAATAAATAATTTTTAAAAAGATGACCAGAGACACAAATAAGGCTTGACATCCTGAGGACTTCTAGTCAAACCACACAGACTCCTGAACAATAAGATGCATTCCCTCTTCCAGAGCCACAAAGTGGTGGGTGACATAGAATGACTATAAGATTATCCATCTTATTACAATTTGGAGAGCAGAGAATAATTTTATTCTCACTTCAGCTGGCCAAGATTCTAGCACCATATCTACACCAGGTTATGAGTTATGAGTAAATAATGAATTAAACCAATAATCTTCTGTGTTCTGATCTGACTTATAATATTTCCCACACAATAAACTTCTAATTAGGTCTTCATAATAGCTTCACTATGTGTAATGTAACCATAATGTAATTCTGTAGATCTGATACTTATACAACTTGATTTCTATATTCATGCTTGAATGAACAGATAGATGAATCTTTAGATTATGGCAAAATGCCTTAATATTTTAATGAGCTTAAATAAAAGTTACATTTTTATCTTCACTGTCATTTAAATTCCAGATCTACGTAACTTTAACATTAAATTGAAAACATTTCCTTCACATTCAACCTAGAAAGTGAAAGACAGTGTGGAAGTCAACAGGAGAAACATTATGTCACCTAGCAGGTAATCGGAGAAATTTTAACACTCTATTTTTTTTTTCATTAAAGAGTTATTGAGTAACCTAAAGTAAACATGAAGTTATTATCTCTGTTTGAAGTTAGATCAAAATCATCCTCATATTATCCATTCAGATTAAATCTTTATTTCAAGGGTGAAAAATAGGTAACATACAAAAAAAAAAGTAAATATACCCAAGCAGAAACCTTTGAATTATCAAGAGAACTTCTCCCATTCACCTGATAATCCCAGTCTGTCCTCTTCTTTAAGATCTGGTGGTGCCAAGACCTAATGGAATGGGTGGGTACTATTCTGGGTTGCATCACACCTAAGATCGTCTAGAAGCTAAAGTGGGTCCTCAAACTTCCTAAGCCACCATTAATCACTGAAGCACTTCATGAGCTCTGCCTTCCTAAAATATTTAAGTTCTTTGAGTGGGCCTGAACTCCAAGGGAGCTTGTAGCAGTCTGGAATAGCAGCAGAAGATATCAAGGGGATTTTCCCATTTAGATTCCTTATATTTTTTCTCAAGTCACAGATCAAAAATCCTATTTTTCATTTTTAGGCAATGCAATGCCTTGAAGGATGCATGAGGGAAGAGGACAGCATAGAACCTACACACTCACAGAAACTGTACTGAACCAGAAGGCTGTGTGGCAACTATATAGGAATTACATCTCTGCTACCTTCAGGATGAGAGAGGGCCACACTCTCAGTGTTCGTTCCTGTAGGGTGTGAAAGCAATGCCTGCTTCTAGATGTCATGGGGAGTGTCAGGTGGCATACGCCATACCCACTTATAAAGAAGAGTGCTAGCTGGAAGATGCTCAGTAACTGGGTTCTCACCATCCCTGGCCCCATATCATTTCCCTCTTTTCTATTTTGCACCTAATCAAATTGATCTCATCTGCCACCATCTATCTATCTCAGTCTGTCTGGCCAAAAGAACCTATGCCTGTGACACGATAATCTTGCACTCATTCTGTCTCATGCTGACGCATTTGTCTGCACTTTTGCTTCCTATAGAACATCTTGTGAATAGTAGGGTTATTGTCTTATTTATAAAAGATTCTGTTTTCTTCATCCCATCCCTTACTACCACAAGAAAAGCTATTCAAGAATCCAGACACGTTTGACTTTCTAAGTTTCTATTCTTCAAATCATTAAGATAAATCAGCAGCTTCTACAACCTTTGCTTTATATGACCACCAATTATAAAAACAAAAGAGGCAACCATTTGGCAACTCTTCCCTCAGCCAAGAATTACACTGATGACACTTGTCCAGAAAAGGGATTATTTAATATCAGAGGATTAGGGGTCATCTGTCTAACATCTTCCCTGTCAAATCCAAGAATAAATTCCTCCCTAGCTCTGTTTCTGAAATAGGTACCCAACATACCCACAGTACCAAGAATTTCTAATATACAGCAATCCACCTTTACTGATGAAAATGTATACTTAAATGTTTTTTTTTTTTTT